CAGGAGGATTGTCTAAAAGAAGCTTTTTTTTGGGGGGGGGGGTTTAGACCATCTTGCCCACTTGGATTTTAATAGAATGTGAGTCCTGAGCTCCGGGAAAACCATTTAAATGATTTGTAGATGGCACAAACGCCTGTGCCTACAAAGGGGTGGCTGTTAGGGACTAAATCCTGTGCTCCGTTTCAGAGACAGAATTTGGTTGTAAAATTAAGGGTGTATGAGAAATTACTAAAAAGCAACAAACAAACCAAACCAAACTACCTAGATGAGCCAGATGGACAGACTGTGCCAGGGCCGCAGCATAGAGCAATTGCTCAAGAAGCCGGAAATGGATCTGTCTCGCTGCTGTTGTGGGCCGCTTTCCAGATGCTTTAGGGCAAGAGCCATAACTGTGTGTCTCCTTCCTCTGACTTTTGCACTTTCTGCTAAGGCAAGTTTTTGCGTATTATGCAATTCACTAACTCGTTTCAGGATTTCAGTCTGAAGTACTGGGTACAGTGGTTTTCATGTCATGTAGCAGATGCCCTGCCTGACCCCCAACTGTTTTTTTTTTTTTTTTTTAAATTTGAAAAAAAGGCTTATGAAAAACTTTTTCTCAAGAAGGTTTTTTTGTTTTTTTTTTTTTTTTTTTAAATTATCAGAGGGTATATCCTCTTACCAGAGAAAACAGAAAAACACACTCCCCAAGGGGATGTGATCATGCCACAGCCCCTTCTCCTCCATTTCTCCATCCTGTCAGGATTCAGGGCCTGCATGCACCACACATACCTGGCATGTTTTTTCAACCCTCTGGACCAGGATTTGAACCATAGTCAGCCATGTGAGATCCAGCTCTTTTCATCACTAAGTTTCAGGACTGGCCCTTTTCGTTTGTTTTATAAGATTTCTTTTACTTTATTTCTATGAGAGAGACAGAGAGAAAAAGAGAGAGAGAGAGAGACAGCTCCCTCTGTCTATCAGAGTCCCCAAGCTACGATTCACCTCTGTGTCAGCTCATCTGGACGTCAGGCAGGCGCGCGTGTGCCTGCTGTGCTCAGGGAGGTCCAGGTATGCAAACCTGGATGGACCCTTGTGGGTCCAGTTGCCTTATTGCCTGGCCCCTATTATTATTTTCTGTTGTTTGAATTTTGAAGACATGTGAAGGAATAACAGACTTTGGAGACCGATGAGATCTGGGTTTTATTTCTGGCTCTGCCACTAGTTACTGTTTGACCCTTGCTAGTTGTACTTTTTTCAGCTTCAGTTTCCGTCTCCTGCAAAATGGGAGGGGGATATTGTCAGGATGGTGGGAAAACCAAATGAGATAGCGAATAGGAAGCACCTGTGGTCTCTGCAGAGCACTTACCCACGGAAAGAAAGCAGTGTCACCGTGTGATGTTCTGCGTTTTCTCTGATCACAAGAGTATTGCATAGTGAGAAGGGTTGTGTGGATGGAGCACATTAAACAGTCGTCTTCTATAGTTACTACACAAACCTGTAAGAAGCTCGAAAAAGATGACCACATCGTAATGAGACCAAGGTCAGTGCTTTAGGAACTTAGTTTTTATAGGATTGGAAGCAGGGAGTGAGGTATTCAACCTATTCATTCAGTAAAACTGTTATCCATGCTGGAAAAATTTTGCAAAACTGCGTAGCTACTCATTTTGGTGGAAGAATGACACCTAGACCATAGAATCCATGTAGCTTTTCTCCTGCTGAGACATTGTGAAGTTGGGGAAAAGATGTGTTTTTTCTTTTCTTTTTTTAATAGAGGTTTTTGTCTTAGAGTGTGTGAGCTCACTGGGGAGAAAGAGACTGAGACAGTGAGGGAGAAAGTGAGAAATCATCCCCTGGGGGGATAGCCATGCTGGAATCCCTTCTCCTCCATCTCCTCCTGGGATCTTGGGCATACACATGCCCAGCATGATTTTCAAGCCATGGGTCTGGGACTTAACCATGTGGGAGTCCAGTGACATAACCACGATGCCATCAGCTGGCCTCAGAAAGAGCATTTTGAGAGGATGGAAATTGAATTTTTTTTTTTTGAGATGATAATAACAACAACAACAACAATGTCTTCTTAGTCCAGTTTTTGCTCTTTGGCATTAACCAGCAAGGTGATGCATCAGAATTTGACCTCCTTTGGAAACAGCCCGTGTAGTTTCAGCTGACTTACGTCCATTTCCTGGGACGTACACTGTGGGCCGTCCTCCCCTTTACTTTTGCGTGAATGGTTTGTAGTTCCATAAGTACAGGCGGTTCTGAAAGGATCAGAGGAGATGTCTTTGGGGGAATACTTTGGTCCCTTGATTCAGATACTGTGAGGAGTTTTATCTGTTTGGCACCTTTCTAGGTGACTACTGATGGGTCACTGTTTTCTAAAACGGTGCCCCTCATTTTCTGGCCTATGAATACACAGACATTCAGCAATGAATTCCCCCTCCTCTCTTTTCATGTGTCTATAACTACATATTTTCTAGAGAATTGTATTTTAATGAAGGTGGTCAGGTGGTTTCCCAGCCAACCTTAGCCTATCATATTTTCAGACAATAAAATAAATGTTTTACGTTTTAATGTATTCTGCTTCTGCACTGAAGAAATTCTTACCAAGAGATTGAAGTCAGGGTGGTGTAAGTGGCCAGGACCTGGCCAGCAAGACTCGTAAAGATGAGTAGCCGCGGTGCTGAGGCTGCTTTCCTCCTTAGTCCAGAACCACCCAGAAGCAGCATGGATGGCCTTTATCTCCTTCTGTAGCACACACGACTAATTTCCCATGACTATTTATGGTCTGCACAGCCCTTCTCTAACTTCCCTTTTTTATTTTTAAATGTCAACGGAGTACGTGTTTCTTTAATGGAAAATGTTCTATTTTGGGGAAGCTGCTTTTCCTCCGATAAGTAAAGGAGTGTGTGTGTGTGAGAGAGAGAAGTGTGCAAGATCAGAGAGTGTTAAATTAGAGGACTGAGTGTTTGGAATGACAATCTTGGTGAGGACTCCTAATACAAAGCCTCCTCCTTATCCAGGATTAAATGACTGTACCTACTCTTCCATATCCTTCCTTTTTAAGGAAGTTTTATCCACCCCCACCCCCTGCCGCCCTGAACAGATCACAGAATACTCTTGAAATAACAACTGAAGAGTTTCAGCCTAGGTGGTTTGGGAAGGGGAGAATGGTGCAGGTTATTAACGGCGGTGGGGTGGGGTGGGGTGGGGGGCAGGCAGATTTGCCCCTGGTCACTCACAGGTGAGTCGGACATGCTGAGTGCTCTGTTTCCCAGCCTGTATGCACTCGGGTGTCCATCGGGCCTAGCGGGTCAGCTCTGATTCCTGACCGCTGTCCTTGGAATGATTCGGAACCTGATCACGGCAAGGGTTCTGTCACAGTCCCCAGCTTTGCCTGATTCACTTTGCTGTGTTTCATAGTGACTGTGGAAGAGTGCTGTCACCTTTGACAGGTTTAGTTATCTTAGGTATAACTGTCGTGTATGTTTTATCCATTTGTTCACGCTATTGTCTGCCAGCTGGCAGCATATATATGATCTGCTTGTTGGTTTTAGTGCTTTTTTTTTTTAGCATTTACTTTAGGGCACATGTACTCACCAGAGACAGAGAGGGAAAGTGAGAAATGACCCCTGAGGGGAATGGCCATGCTGCAGTCCCTTCTCCCCCAGTCTTCTATTGGGATCTGGGCATGCACATCCATGTGCCCAGCAGGATTTTCAAGTTACTATGTCCAGGACTAGAACTATGAGTTGACTGTGTGGGGTTCAGCTGCAGGTGGTGTGCCTTAACCTCCACACCACCTGCTGGCTCCATGTGTTAGTGTAAATTTGATCAGAATATAATATAAATATAGAAGAGTGACCAAATGGAGCACTTAGTAATTTTTTCAACGTGACCACACTCATGTACCTATCACCTAAACCACGAGAGAGAATATTACAGATTCAGCAAACGCCAGACCCCCATCCTGGACACGGCCTTCCACCCCGCCAAAGAGTTAAAGCCATGCCAACTTCTATCCTGAGTTACTTTTGTCCAATTTTGAACTTTGTAGTTATAAAGTCATGCGGGGTGTCTTCTTCACTCAGAATTAGAGTTCCTTTTCTTTTTGGAGAGGTTTTTTGCTATAGGGCACGTGTGCTTGCCAGAAAGACAGAGAGAGACAGAAAGCGAGAAATCACCCCCCAGGGAGATGGCCACACTGCAATCCCTTCTCCTCCGTTCTCCTTTCGGGATCTTGGGCACGCACACACACGTGCCTGGGGTGAGTTTAAGCCACCGGGTCCGGGACGTGAACCGCGATCGACTACGTGGGAGTCCAGCGACATAGCCATTACGTTAACTGCTGGTCCCCCTGTTGAGATTCATCCTGTTGAGGTGTGTAGTCATAGTTCTTTGTTTCCATTGCTATATAGTATTCTGTTATTTTAGTGCAGGACATATTGTCTCCTGCAGCCAGAAATGTATGTCAGTGCAATGCGATTTGGGCATCTTATGGAAGAGGACTTAGTCGCTTTGTGTTTTGCGGTATTGAGATTTATCTAATGCCTAATTGTCTCATTACTGAGTTTTTAGCTCTTTTATTAGAAAATAGGCAGTTGTTTTCTGTTCCTTAAGTCAGAACATTACCTTACTTAGCTTTCTACAGGACTGGAAGCAGGGAGTGAAGTATTCAGCCTATTTATTCAGAGAAACTGTTAACCATACTGGAGGAATTTTAAAAAACTGAGTAGCAATTCATTTTATCACTTCCCCTTCTGCTCCCCACTGGCTATAGACATAATCACTTCGTGTCACCTCTGTGCTTCCATAAAAGCTGATTCATAGCTCTTTATATTTAATACGTATAGACAGCCGTTGTGTTCACTGTAGATGGTGAGTCAGGGATCCATGTCTGCTAAACTGAACTCCTCGAAATCAGAGCCTGT